ATCCTGGATGTCAGATTAGCAAAAAGAAAAAAAAAATTTTGTTTTTTAATTACAGCAGCAAAAAAAGCTTACATAATAGTATTACATATGTTTAACAAAAAATAAAGAATAGAGTTAAAGCATTATAAACCACATATAATCACTTATAGTTCAAATGTTTACCTAAGATCCTAAGCATGTGACTTTTATGTCTGTGAATGTGAACTGAAAATGTGATTTGGTTTTTTGTCCACAAATGTAAGGAAGTGTAACCACCAATAGTTTCATTACCTTCTCCTTAATTGCAATCTGAAACGGCTTTTGCTAATAAGACTGACATGTTAACTACTTTTATTCTTAAAGTATTATTGTATATTTTCTGTTCTTTTGAAAAGTGTGGTGCTTAGTAGTATTATGTCCCAATCAGATGATTCATGATACACAACATTTTCATACTTGGGAAATGTTAACACATTATAGTCCTTGCTTTGAAACATAAAAGAATTAATCACAGACAACACATTTTCATATTCCTTTGACGCTTGAGACCATTTAAATGATGTGGCTTGCATGCAGCCCCATTTTGGGCCCTCAGCGCCCTCTACATTGTCCCTCTGTGTCTGTATTTTCACCCCAGGCTTTACTCCTCTTGGCATTGTTTTGTATTTGCATGAAAATCTGTAAATTTTTTTTGCATGGCAAGTCATTGGTAATGCTGAAGTTAAATGTCTAACATACCTTGCAATATCACATGCCATTAATTCTTACATGATTTTTTTCTTTTATTTTCAGTTACTGAAGTTTAAATATGCTTGAAATGTAAAAGTGGCATGAAACTGGAGTGATGCAAGAATATTTAGTATTCCTTTAAGGACTATCATTTTTAACTGGGAAAATTTGGGGGCAGTTCTCAACCTTGTTTTTTGGACATCAACCATCAATTACAAATGATGATAAAACTATATTGAACATAGGTGCTGTCAGCAGAGTAATAAGTTCTGAAGTGATACCTTTTTTCCCTCTGAGAATGTAATTTTAGTACTTGAATATAAAGTATATGTCCCCTAATTTCAGAAATTATTAATTATTTGATTTTTCTTAATGGGCACACAAGCTCTATTACTTTACTGAAGGTTTCTACTACCTAAAAAAGTAACGAATTACTTACTGAGTGACAGCACCAACATTTTAGTGCTTTAATGTTTTCTAAATGAACATGATTACCAAAATGGATATTTGATATGGGAATGTATGAGTATACAAAGAAGATAAGTTATTTATGTCATTTTTGTCAAGCTTCAAATCCATAAGGGCACAGGACCAATTCCCACCAGTGGGACAAAAGCACACATCCAAACAAGTGTCCTTTCCTTCTAAGTAGTCACCTTGCTCCTCTACATTTATTCCTAACAGCTGCCATTGCCAAAAATGTTTTCGAATACCTGTTTTCAAATTACCTTCAGAGTCTTTGGCACCTTCATTTCAACAGCTGTATGGTAACAAATCTTGTTCCTTGGGGAGTGATTTTGATTTTTTCAGCAGCTAAAAGATCTTCAGAGCCAAATCGGCCAAACAAAACTGGTAGTCAATCTGGTGAAACAGATTTTTTAATGACATATGAATATGTAATTAGTAAGACCTGCATAGCCAATAGCTTACAAAATGACTTTCAACACATTTCCCAAAGAGGAATCCCACAAAACATTTGCATAAAAACAGCAGCAGTGGAATTAATGGAATTTTCTTAAGGAGTCTTCTAAGCAAGCACATGATTATCTCCTTGAATGAATAAATTCTAATACCTGTATCATTTGATGTATCTAGGTGTTATTTTTAATTCTCCCTTATTTAAGCCAATGGAGTAGTTAAAATTTTTGAAAAGTCAATCTTAAGTTTTTTACCTGATCAGGACTCTAGTTGAGTGACTGCTGCTTTTCCTTTGATAAGCTAATATCAATTTAATACCTCTTTTAGCGGATGTTGGCTGATTGACTCCTGGCTGTCACCAGCTAGCTCTGTGATATCAGAATAGGATACAGCTTCTCTGTGCCTCTCACTCCCTGTCTACAAAATGAGAGGTTGGGGCTAAATTATCTTTAAAAAATATCTTTTGAATAAAAATGTTACAGTCTAATGATTATATATTCATATGTGAGGCTATAATTATCATATACCCTAAATCTCCATACATCTTTGTGCGGTTTTAATTAAAACTAAGCAGAAGTAACTCAAATTCAGGTTATTCTAAAAGACATCAAGACACTGAGAAGAAAACTAGTTTCTCCACTAAAGTGTTTTCTACCTGATGGTGATAAGATGACATTTGTATAGCACTTTATGTTTACATTGTCCTTTGTGAGTCTCACAACCTACGAGCTGCTATCATTGTCCTCATTTTGCAGATGAAGATACTGAGGTTCAGGGAGATTCAGTTACCTCTCTACGGTGACGGACTAGCAAGGTGTAGAGCCAGCACAAAAAATTCTGGGTCTTCTCCTTCTAATTTAAGACTCTTTCCCTCCATCACCATTTATCTGTAACCGGTCTTTTGCTTAGGAGACAATTTTTTCAAGGTGCCACCATTCAGAATTCATACTCCTTGAGAATAAAATTAACCTTTAGAACTCTCTGGCACCGCTTTAGAATCATCCACTTGCGTCACTACAGCTCTCTGTGCTTTTACAGACTAGTTGTTTTGTCAGCATGAGTGTGACAACAATTAGACGTCCCGTTTTTGCCCCATGCCTTTTCTCCTTCACAGTCATTCAATGACAAGCGTAAAAAGAGCTTCATCTTTTCACGAAAATTCCCATTCTACAAGAACAAGGAGCAGAGTGAGCAGGAAACCAGTGATCCTGAACGTAAGTAGATTCTCAAAGATAATGTCACATGCAACATAAGAGAAAAAATATTCACAGGCAACACGCAGGATGTAGGCTCTCCCACGCCACACACCTAGGCAAACAACACAGCAGGCAGGCAGGGCAGGTCTACTACTGTGACCAGTGTTTGACTGCAGTCTGGATCCCTCCTTTCACGTGGCTCTTCTTTGCAGAAGGCATTGGAGAGAGACTTGCCGAAATTGGGACTTGGACCCAACCAACATTTATCTTTGACCAGGACTGGGTCTGGTTTGCCTTTTCTATCATGCAACTCTCTAATAAAGTCTTGAGAAAAATTCTTTTCTGAGAAGAAACCTTGGATTATGTTGCCACATATGTTTTTTGGAATGCTAGGAACAATTAAAGTATCTTTACTGATTACTAGCACATTTGCTCACTCTTTCCCTCCCCAGAAACACTAAACACTTGCTGAGCACAGAGCTTGTAATGGTGGATATCGTCTAGAATTTGCTATGAAATTTGGAGAGGTTTATTCCTTAAGTGGGGCATTTCTGTGGCAACGTGATTAACCATGGGCAAAAAAAAAAAAAGGCATTTGCTGAATTTTTTTTTCTTAGAATCTTTTGTCTAAACCTTGAGTTTCTCTGCAAATCAGAAATTTTCTTCTTGAGAGAGTTTGGGGTGAAAGTTGTTTTAAAAGAGAGAATGGGATCCAGATTGTTCAGGCAGCACGGTCTGTCATGGTAGTATTCGTTTCAACTCCACTGACTTCTTCCTTCCTCTTCCGTGGCTGTTCTTCCTCTCTCATTGCTCTCTCTGGGGACTTCCATGCAGGACATCCCCGGATTAGGTGACGACGGTTATGGAACAAAGACTCTGAGTAAGTTTCCAGGAATGGTCACTGTAACTTTTCTTTTCTTTTCCTTTCCTTTTGAGTTTGGCTTTTGTTCCTTTTCTTGAGGGCCTTTCACTCCTAGCATGCACAAGATACGAGTTTTATTTGTTACCTAGCTGTGAATGCTCCTACAAAGTAATTTTCAATCGTTTTGTTCTGCATGTCAGCATTTAAAAGCAAAGTGTGTCAGGCACTCTAACTTCTGTTGCAGTTAACACCATCCCTTTCTGACCATGTGATATTATCAACATGGTCCTGATGCCCACTATAGCATCACTTGCTCTGCCGCTTAATACATCCCAGAGAGCAAGAAACCATGTTGAAAGAAAGGGTGAGCCAAGTGTCCTAGAACAGCAAAATAGAAATGTACTTTATGTTCTTCCTTCTACCTTTTCACATGGAAATATTTAATGACCTTGTCAAATCTCATAATTGGGTTGTACTTTGCTGTTAGTACAGGAGCTATTTTGTAGTCAAAAGGAACACGCATTCTCTGAAAGCAAATATTAAGCTACTTGATCTTCCATGAGTATTTACTTGTTATTAACTTTGATTTTTTTTCTGACTTGCGGTGATCCTGCTTGAAATGTTTGTATGATAAAGCTTAGATATGTAATAATATGCTTTTCTATCAGTGATTTATTAGCTACATTACAAAATCAGGTCTTCACTTTATAGCATAGAGTGAAAAATAAAATATATTAAACCTTTGCATTTTCTAGTTATTCATATATTTAGTTTGTGTCTGATTCCACTAAGCAATTAAAAAACTAATTATCCTGTGTATTAATATACTATGAAATTTTCCTGTTTAATAACTAACCCCATTGTGTAGGCATCAATGAAATGAGAAGAGAGTTTTGTGTCTTTTGCAACTGTATCACATATTTAATTTTTTTTATTTTGTTTGTTTTAAATTAACAGCTATGGGCAATATTTTTAGAAGCTGTTTGTTTGTATAAAACAAAATTGCACTGAGCTGGACTTTGTTTTCAAGGGCTTTTTCTATAACCCTGTGTAGTGATACCCCTCATAACTCAAACTGTTCATTTTGAGAGTTTTTAAAGGTATTTATTTATAAAAAACAAAATCTGATCAAGAGTACTGATCTTAAAGATGAAAACTTTATTTTTGAGTCACTGTATGGAATGTGGTAGACAGTTTTTCTTGAATTAGTGGCTGAAGTTTAATGATTGATTTCAACATTATCTGGACAGCATCAAGCACCACCAGAGAGAATTTGTAAATTTTCAATACGAGAGGGAAAAGAAGCATCTTAATATATTGCTAATAATAAACATTACTAAAAAGTAGTGGATTTTGGAGTCTCAAAAATAGGATACGCTTTCAATCCAGAATATGCAAATGTTTGTTTGCTCTTTAAAAATTGAACAAATTTAAAAAGTAAAACTCAGCAACAACAAAAAGCCCTGTCATCCTCAATTCAAGGTACTTAATAATCTACACAAAGATACGCTAATATTGGTTATGTGCCATGACGTTCATTTTGGTAACAGAAAACAGATGTGCACAGGTTCATCCACATTTCTTTCCCTGTTGCCTCTTTGCACTTCCACAATACATGCCCAAATTAATAATTCAGTTCTGATCATAGACCAACACAAAGAGAAATGATTTGTGTGAATTGAACCCATGCTTTGATTTTCATCAGTTTCATGCTCTAAAATGACTCTATCCAATTGGCAAGAATGTATAATACCAAAGCACTATTTTTTATTGTTAGAGAATAATTTTACATATTATTTTTCTCTTTCTAAAAATGTTAACTATTATCACTTTTTTAAAAACTGAAGTTATTTATAGTGAGCTTCAGAAATCAAATAGTCACATGTTCATCATTTAATTAAAGTAATATACAAATAAATTGATAGACTGATGAGTGTATCTTCTATAACTTAACAAGCACTATGGATGAAAGAAAATGATTGTGGAAATCAGAGCTCAAATTCTGGCTTATAACCAATACATCCCTGTTAAGTTAGGTGAACTATGTATGAAGAAACAGTTTGAAATATTGCTGTGTAAGCAAGTCATTCAGCATGAATTAAAAAAAAATACTTCATGCTAGAACCTGTACTGTGCATAAGGCCATTTCTTTCCTGCCTGTTCCATGCCTCCAGGATTCAATAGCTATCCAAGCAAGGATCCTAAAATAAAAACAAGGAACTATTGAGCTGATTCATAAAATATTTTTCAGACTCACATCTTCCTCAGAGATTTTCAGCTCACTCACTGAAGCAGAAAAGATCTTCAAGAATTCCTATTCATCCTGAGAATGTGTTTAGGAAGTATTTAAACAGAAATAAAATGCAAGGGAATCCAGGGATCAATTAGTAATTTAAATTGCAGTATTCCAGAAACATACTTAAAGGCTAAAATAGAGAAATAAAAAAGCCTGCAAGAAAACAGTACCTACATACTAGAAGCTCCTGAATTTATAGTCAAGAAAACATTCAGTCCAGACATGCAAGTCATTGTCACATAAATCTTGCAAGTCAGAGGTATATGGATGGGTCATAGTATTTTTTTAATCACTTAAAATGACATTATGCATTTTTTGTAATTAAAGATACTTTCTTCATTTGCTAAAAGAAGAAACAGCAATCAAGCAGCGGGTTCCTGTAAAATGGAGATAAAGTTTTCATCTTCTTTATCTTATCTGAGCTTTCTTAATGCAGCCTCCTCTGCGGCCTTTTACTTGCCTTTCGCTCACATTTCTAGTAGCCTTGCATGAGTGTATTCCTTTCAGTTCTGGCTGCTCTTCAATGCTTGGTATCTCTTTAATTTGCTGTGCTGTTCTTGCAGAACATGTTTCTTCTAATGCCAGCGATAGCGAAAGTAGCTACCGTAAGTTACTGCTTTGGTTTGTGGTTCTTTTCTTTGCAATTGCTCCATTGCCTGTGGTGGTCATTTCAGATTTCTGTTGTTGTTTTTCAATTGCTACCTTTTATCATCCGTATTCAAAGCAAATGGCTTGAAATGAAATTATTGAATGTGGAAAGATGAAAAAGACACTAGAGTGGACCTTTATATGATTTGTGCAAGCAGTTCCAGCCTTGGTCAGTTGTGACTCAGTGATTCAATTCTCACAGAGAAGGTGTGTAAAAAGTTCAACATGGTGGATTTTCACATTGTAACCCCCAAAATAATTGAAACTCTCAACTGGAGGGTGGAAAATCATCGTGGCATTATTTTCCTTCTCATTTTGCCATTTCCTTTCTGTTCTTGGCTCCTCTTTGCGGGAAAAACATTTATAAATTAAGTGTTCCTTTAAAATCAGGTGTGAATCTTTTACATCACTTTCTCTTTGATCAATCTTTTAAGGTAGTCTACTATGACATTTCTAACTTTACTTTTTTGTTAATTGGGAAACTGATGAAAGAGTTTCATCCTCTAATATTGAAAAAACTTAATTTTTTTAATGTGACCAAGTCTTCTTAGATCAGAAAACTTAGCTGAAAAGGTAGGTGACTATTTTAAAGTTGTTTCTGATCTTTGTTTGGTCACCTCAAGCCATTTGCTTAGTGTATGAAAATATCCACCAAACACCAAGCACATCCTTTTGAGCAGTCCTCATGGTTTCTTACCTTCTACTTACTTGCTGGTATTTGGTGACTAACATAGGTACATATTTTTACTGGGATTCTTACGATTTCTCTAAGATTAATTTATATTCCTTAGTGAAATGGGTTACCCAAAAAGCAGGCTTAATGCATGTGACCCACAGATACTAAGGCAGAAATTGGTTTTGTCTTTTGTTTGAATGAGTATTGTATTAATTGAAAACTAGAATTGTTTGGGGCTTCTCCCCAATTATAGCATGATACTTTACAAAACGATGCCTTTTTGAGGTGGAGAGCCAAATAGTGGTACAACACATAATTTGGATTTTGAGAAAAGCTTTGGAAAATCAGAGGGGTGGTAAGTAAGAGAAAAAGCACCAAAGAGGAAAGATGACAGACGGAGGTAGGCTCAGAGGAGGAAGATGATGTAGAACACAGAATAAAATGAAAAACTTGTGATAAGATACCCTTGATCAATCAAACATTAGACTGATAATAAAACACCTGATTTTCTTATTGATAAAAGTCTTATTGATAGAAGAAATTCCATCAATTCCTACTGATGGAAGAACTCAAAAGGTCCTTGTTGTCAACATGGTAACATGTCAATATTTTTACATTTTTTTATACTTTTATAATTTTATTATTATCCTAACTTCAGAAAAAAATTGGCCTCCCCTCTTTTTCATTTTATTTTAAACCAAGAACCTAGGCCGAGAAGAATTGACCAAAGCTTGTGTTAATACGCCTAAGCTTCCCTCAATTTAGTATGTAGAAAGATATAACTTATTTGTTGGGTACCAAGAAGACCAATGACACTAGTTTCCTTGATGTTCAGTTTTCAATTTTCAAGTGTTGTGCTTCCATCCAGTAGACACAGGTACAGAAAATGAAAGCATCATGCCTTCTCTTTCAATTCTTTTAATGAAAAATATATACTATACAAGAACTACCCTTTCTTTTAAAAATCATACTTTTGTAGGGTATTTTAAAGGCTTCTTCTCTGTTGCAGAGGTGGGAATATTTTTCCCAAAATTATTAAGTTATAAAAAGTGGGCCAAGACTTTCAACTCCTTAACAGATTTTTAAAGTGATGTTCCAAAATGATGTCAATAATTATTTTTACTCTCAAATGCTAGGTGCACATAAATGTTTATTGAATGAATAAATGAAACACTTTTGGGCATCTCAGATTCTCTGTGAGGAGAGAGAAGATTTGGAACTGGATTCTATGACATTAGTAGGGCAGATACGAAATCTAATCATCTCTATTGGCTTGAGTCTCATCCAAGGTTATAGAAGGTCAGCCACCCAGATTGTTTTGTTTACAAACGAACAAAAGTAAGAGGAATTTTTATCACAGCTCAGAGGAGAAAAATGGCATTTATTCCTCCAGAATGGAAATACGAAGAATTACCGAGGAATATTTATTTATTTGTTTGGTACCTACTATATGGGAGGTCCTCTTCTTGGATACCAATAGACCAATTGTGAATATCAACTAACTCTAGCTCTCAGCACACATAATAGTGGGAGAGAGATATAAATAAATGAAAATGTGCACAAAGTGTGGCAGGTACTGAGATAGATGTGTGGCTGAAGAATAGTGGGAGCAGAAAAGGTAGTTTCAGAGAGGAAGTAGCTTGTAGCTTTGAGCTGAGCTTTGGAAAGATGAGGAACTTGCTAGCCTGGCAAGATGAGGAAGAAACTGCCCAGAAAGAACATTGCCACAACAAAAGACTCAGAGGTTTGGAGCAAATAAATTTTCCAGAAGACACCAACTTTGATGTCAAAATAGGCTGCATTTTTCTAGTGAATTCATGGCTTTTGCTGTAATTATGACTAAAAGTAGTATAAACAAATATTTTTTAAAATCCTCTTTTTAGCAATATCCAGGTGTTATATTTCACGGTTTTACTTTACTATTCCATATCCACTCTGGAGACAAAATGGTTTAATAATGATAATAGTAATTCGGAGTTAGAAACAAAGACCTAGGCCACTGCGCTTCACCATCCAGAGTGGACCATTCACTCTGGATCCTACACCTTGTAGCAACCTTACTTGAAAGTCTTACATGTTTCCTGAGGTATAACCCACACACACATAGATACACACAAACGTCAATTCCTCATAAATAGTTTAAATCTTTGCTGCAACATCTCAAGCATTACAAAATAGGTTTTCCAAGTCCAACTCTATTTAGTACAAGCTAAAATTGCAGTCGATAAAGTGTACATTGTCTAATTGTGCAAAATGCCACCTCAAAACGATTTTAATTATGAGCTAATTCCAGATTTCTGTCAAGAAAGTAGGAAAATTTAGCCCGGTATTTTTGGCTGTTCTGTAAATACCTTTCAATTCTCCTTGTATTAGGAAACAATAAATACTAGGCAAGTATAATGAGGACTATGCCAGTCTCTAAAGCTGAAGACATGCCTTCCTCAAAGCTCCGTAAAGCTCTTTACATCATCATCGATGTGTGCAAGGTGATAAATATCCTTTCAACCCATTAGTGCTCATCAGTTAAGTAGGATTTTCGAAACAAGGATCTTGAAGAACTGATCTGAATGAAGGTGTTGAGTTTAGGAGACCCAAAACTTCTCCACTGAGGTCAGTCAAAATGGCACATATTCTTCACCTTGCTCTATTCTTCTCAACTATTGCCCTTAGATGTCTTTACCCTTTGGTTTTTATAAAGCAGTTTTTCATTACATCTATTATCTCATTTAATTTCTGCAACAAAACTATTAGACATGTTTTACATTAATAGCCCCCTTTCCACATGAGGAAGCTGAAGCTCCAAGAGGCTGCCTACCTTATTAAAGTAGTAGCACTGCAGATCCAACCAAGACATCTTAATTCTGAATCCCTTTCATTTCTCACTCTTCCCTGTAGTTTGTAATCCAAGGCTCTTGTCATTTTACCTTGTAACTTTCAACCATTTCATACTACCTATAAAGTTAACAGAAACAGCAACACTTATATAACATTAAATATGCACCAAGCCTGATTTTAAGGACTGTATGTATATTAAGTTCATCTTCTGAACATCCTATGGAGACAATTTGCCATGAATTTACTATATGACCTTAAAGAAATTACTCACAGTCTTTGAGCCTTAGTTCTCTCCTATGTAAAATGAGTAGCTTGAATTAGAACAGAAATGGCAAATAAATTTTAATCAAGATTCCAAATCTAGCCAATTGGCAACAGCTGCCAGAAGAGTTGTAATCAAAAGTATTCTAAAGCCACGTTGAGGCTCAGCAGTAATCCCGGCAATGATCAGTTTGTGATGCCTGTCAAGGTCACTGAGAGTAACGGTGTATGGTACATACCTGCCATCTATGAAAGTACATGAACCCTAAACCCTCTCTTAGCACTAACATTCCATAGCTCTAAGAACCTAATTAGTTCTTAATAATCATCATATGCAGGCACTAAAAACTAAACTCTGGGCATTAAATGTACTGCCACTGGTCTTCACCTCCATCATCTCTCTTCTCTAGTTTCCAGGAATTCCTTAAAAACAGCAACTTGCTTTTCTCTAGCATGAAGGCATACTAGGGTCTCTCATTGTGACTGGCTTCCAGTTTAAACACAGAGTGTTTTGTAGAGACTGTGACAAAACCCTCTGCCAAGTCTCTGGCAGCCACAGATGTCCACACACAGCTCTGTGCTGCTCTCCCACTTTCAGCCATGCAGTTGCCAAACAAGACCAAGAGATAGTTTGTACCTTTTTGTCAGCTGTTATTTCGAAGTGCCAACCCCTTCTGAGTAGAAAATAGAAAAACTCTTAAGGACGACTATTTTATGGGGATGGCATAGCAGAAATACCAAAAAAAAGAAAGAAAAAGAGTGAGAGAAAGAGAGAGAGAACTTGTGCTTAGCGGCGAGCACCTGATGGCCTCTTAATAACTCTGACCTGGTTTCGGTCCCCCTCTCTCTCCTCAATTTTTTGTTCATTTGTAAGCTTTACCTTGATACCCCCCCTCCACCCTGTCCCACAGAGAATTCTGCTTCTCTCAGCATTTCAAGACAGCGCAGTCTGCTCCACAAGAGCTGAAAAATCTGTGGTATTAAATCTTGACTCCACCACTTACTAGCTGAGGAATCAGGGCTCATTAACATCTCTGAGCCTCAGTTTCTTTATCTGTAAAATAGGGATTATCAGATTACCTACCTCAAGCAATGGCTGTGAAAAATAAAAGCCAGTGAGTGTGAAGGCCCCTCAAGACCTGCAAAGTGCCATAAAGCCATGAATTTTCTCTTCTTTATCACAGTGGCTTTTTCTCTTCCCCTTTGTCTCTTTTTCATTACCCATAGGGTTTTTCATTCTTGAACGTGAAAGTAAAAATTGATTTAAGATGCTGAATTCACAGCAATTATGTCATGCCCACCTCCACAGGTTGCCCCACAGGCTTCCTGGGTATTTACACAGTACCTGATTGCCACAGGGTGTTGAGAATTGGGGTGGCCCGGACATAAGGGATGCTGCCATTGCTGTCTACCAACAGTACTGCTCTGAACCACAACCAGTGCCTTTCATAGAGAAGCAAACCAAGAAGTGATGGATAGACAGAGATAGAAAACTCTTGAGCAAAACTAATCAAAGCTATGCTTTGCCCTAGTTTTCTGAATCACAATCATACATACTGACATCAAACGTCTTATTAAAGATTTGGCTTTAGAATGTTCCATCAGAATGATTTGCAAAGCCATTGGGAAGAGATTTTTATGGGAATATGAGGTACTCTATTTATTCAGAGAAAACCATGCTTTCCAAAGTTAAATGACCGTATTGACAGAAACACAAAGCAGAACCTATTTTTGGCCTTATTGCTTATCCTGTTTCCCATGACTGAAATCAGAGTGCAAAATTTTTGACATCTTTCTTTATGTTAAGTGTTCAGTGAGGACTGGAAACACAGCGATGAATGAAACTCAGTCCTTGCCTTTATGAAGCTCCCATTCTAATAAGGAGGTCCAAGAATTACTTGACATTTAAAGCTTTTGTTATGCCATGGCCAGGATTCTTCCCTTGCACATTAGTTGCTGTAAAGTTACAGTCTAAAATTGCAATGTTAGTCTACCATGCTTCTACGCTTAAAACTATGCTTTTCCCCAATAATTTTTACACTTCTTCAATTGACCTACAGCATTTTCCTGCTGAAATAATACTAAAGTAAAACCCTGACTGCTTATACCCTCTACATAGCTCAGGCTTTAGATAACTGAGAGTTAGTAATCAATCACCTTCACTTTTTTTTGGCCCAGGCTCTGTAAATTTCAGTATTCAAAAGGAATCATTTTTTTCCTGAGTATGAAAAAGAGTGAATCTGACTCCTCACTGACCAAACCCCTGACCAATGTGGGAAAGTCCCCTGAGCACTTCTGGGGCAGCCATGGGTAGGTACCACCTAGGAGGGGTACCAAGCTTCATTCCCTGTGCCCTTAGGAAGTAGCCTGGCATGATGGTGCCATTCTGAGCACAAGCCCTCCTTGGGGCTGAGGTAAGACATGACTTTAGCCTGGGGTCATTTCTCACACTTGAAAAAATAAGGCACCACCGCCTCCATCCCACTCCAGCTCCCCAGCCTCCAAGGAAGACATATGACTTCACAGCTATACGCACATATTACTTAACTTCCCCAAATCAGTCATCATTATCAAAACAGTCAGTGACATTAACTCTTCCTATGAAAGTACCTCTCCTTCAATGGTGCTGGGCCATTGAAGGAGGAGGAGAACCTGGCGTTGACAGGCTGTGTATGTGCTTCAGGGGTGGGTACTGAGGATGTACAGCAGAGGTGAATTGCCCTGCGGTTTCAGAAGTTACCTCATATTCCACTCCCGCTCCACAATCTCTTATAGTAGACAGAAAGTTCTTTTCAACAGCCCTAACCTGTTGCCCCACTAAAGGTTAGTCAATGCCAATGAAAATGCAGACACTTCCGGGTTTGCAGCTGAAATTGAGCTAATCCTGTGACCAATTAATTCATCAATTGTATAAAATGGATGACTGAAAAAATAATTGCCAAAAGCCAATTTACTTTTTGTGGTTACTTGCTGACTTGAGGTCCACCCTGATTCAGAAGGCTTGTAGCAAATGACATTGGAGGGGCTGACATTTTACTACTGTGTCTTCCTTAGTTCTCTATCTGAAGTTTCCAGGCATGGTTTAGCAGCAATTATAACCAATGATGTAAGACACTCCTCAATTTTTGATCTTCCTTAATTGACCCACAGCATATTCCTGATGAATTACTGTTAGAGTAAAACCCTGAGTGTCCTGATGGAAGTTTTTATATCATAAGTGAAATAAGCATATACTTGCTTTTGAACAGTGTGCTTCTTGGGGAAATAAAGTAGAAGATGAAATAAAAGGTACAGCAATTCTGATTATGTAGCAGCAAACTATTATTTAGGACCCTTTCCTTGAACTAAATGCCTCCTTTTAGATAGTAATTCTTGGTGTAGAGGCCATGGCATTCCATTCTCAATGCCAGACAGAAAGCAGTCTCACAGGTCATTGCCCTGCAGCAAATAGCTAGTGACCAATGATTACTAAGAGTTGTGACTGTGAAAATCTGATACTAAAATAGCGCTAAAGGGTTTTATGAGCATGAAGGGATTTTTGAATGGTTCAAGGAGAAAGAGCAAGAATTAACCCTGAGCTGTGTCTGCTTCCTGTGTTTCAGAGCAGGGCTTGTCTCTGTAATATATAACTGATTGTTAGTTCACTGTAGTTTTCTTTTCTTCTCTTCTCAGGAGGACAAGAAGACCTCATTCTTTCCTATGAGCCTGTTACAAGGCAGGAAAGTAAGTTTCCCAGGACACTTTCATTCCTGATTTCTTGAAGGAGGGAAAGAGCAAAGGACTAAGGAGAATAAACTCTGCTTAATACTCAGTTGTCTTGAGACCATACCCTATTCTCTCTCTCTCTCTCTCTCTCTCTCTCTCTCTCTCTCTCTGATGCTATCACCAAACAACTTCCCCTCTGAGTATAGGCAGTAGCAGCTCCTAAGAGAAGGATGCAGCCCTCCAGATGGATGGTCCTCAATCTGAAGGAGCACATTCAAATTAACTAAAGAGCACTAGCTATGAGACTGGTGAACAGAGTCTCCTCAGAGACTCATGTCAGCTCAGTATTGAGAAGGACTTTCTAGCAGATCTGCCTAAGATATAGGCTATCTGTAAGCTGCTGCTTTTTCCTGGAGGCATTTATACAGAGACTAATTGCTACTGACAAGGATATCGAAGAGAGAATTCAAGCATTAGATGGGGAGTTGTAGCCAATGAACTTTAAGATTCCTTCTAATCCCAGATACAAGGGAATCTAGAAACTGCAGCAACGTGTAGAGAGTATCTTGATCTGGGGAAAAGAAATCATGAAAACATAAGATGTTATTACTTCTAACAATTACTTTTTATAGTCATGTCTAATCAATAGCCAAACAGCTGTTTGGATTCTTTTTTCTTCCACTCAATTGACTAAATTCAGTTGTTTTGACATTATGTAGGCAGAGCCAGAGAGTAAGCAAAACGCCTCCAAATGTTTCTTTTCATCGACAGATACTGCAGTTGCTTTTCTCTGCTAGTAGATTCCAGAAAGTAGGCATTGCGAACCTCCTGAGTGTTAAACATCAATTTCCCTGTGCAAAGCTGTATGAGTAATTTATCCAGTGAAGTAATGCCTTTTAACAGCTCATACTGTTTGGCGATGAAGAATCACCCTTGCAGGAAAGTTTTACAGTTGTTTCCAAGTCTTTCTCTTCATCTACTTCTTCCTTTCCTGTTCTGTAGTAAACTACACCCGGCCAGTGATTATCCTGGGGCCCATGAAGGATCGGATCAATGACGACTTAATATCTGAATTCCCTGATAAATTTGGCTCCTGTGTGCCTCGTAAGTGTCATTTTTCTTTCCCCTAAGGAAAAAAAAAAAGAGCTTGGATTCTTTATGAGATGGTAATACGTAATTTCGTTCCTCCAGTAGTCTCTCCAGTAATTCAAATACCAACCATTTCCGATTAGCTGAGTGCCTTATTTAATTTCTTTGCCTAACATGTCATTTATGCTGCTGCGTGTCATTCTCTATTTGATAAAATACAATCTCTCTAAACTGATTGTAGCCCCTTAAAAGGCAGGATGAATCTTTGCAGCCCTCCAACCATTTAAAATAGCATGGGATTTATGATAGGTATCAGCATGTTTTTATAGATTAATTGAAATGCCACTGAAACATTATTTTTTATAGAATGGAAGAGATCAGAAACAAAGCCATATATTAAAATCCTCTCAGAAGGACTTAGGGCCATAGGTCAATCCTAAAACCCAATAGGCTTTCCCATGTTGACAGTCCCAGGTTTAGGGACGATGAAGACAAGAAGATGTATAACACTTCACTTTGACCTCTAGACCATTATAGACTTTAAACTACTTTCTTCTCATTGTAGACAATCATTGGGCTTCCTGGTCCCTCTGATTGTAGCCTTATTAGATTCTAACTGCTCTGCCTTTCCTGCTCCCCACCTCCCACCATACTTTCTCCACTCACTCACCCCATCTATACCCCGACTCTGTCACATAGAAATGCATGCAGACCTTCTATGTATGTAGACAGGCCCACCAGGAATTTTTAATTTATTAAATAATGAAGCTCTTATTTCTGATACCACAAATATTTCTCTCTCAGTCTACATATTTTAAGCCTTATGCTTTCAAGTGTTTCTAACATTCTAGTATGAAAATTTTATGTGAGATACTTAAGAATAGGGAATGAACAAAAGACTAGGATGATTGCTGTATCTCATGAAACAGTTTCCAGCAAGGGATCTGGGAAGAGAGCCTGCCATAAAACATATCCTGAGAAAGTCTTCAGATAGGAAGAATCAAATGAAACTCCAGGTAGTTTATTTAGAGCAGCCTTCAGCTTGCTCTTCTACTTTTGAGAGAAAGAAAACAAAGTACTTAAGCACTCTTTCCACTTTCCCCTTCACTTTGCATATTCTTTCTTTCTTTCTTTCTTTTTTAATTGTACTTTAGATTCTTGGGAACATGTGCAGATCATGCAGGATTGTTGCATGGGTACATACATGGCAAGGTGATTTGCTGTCTCCATCCCCCCATCACCTATATCTTTTTTAAATTAATAGAACCATTTTATGAAAGTCAACATGTTCATTTTACAAAACTTGAAAAATGCTAAAAAGAAAGTTAAACAAGAAAATTAAAAGTACACAAAATCCCACACAACACCCAGAGATAACATCATTGTTAATATTTTGGTGTATTTCCATCTATTCTTCCTATGCATGTATTTTTCCCTGTGGTTATTTCTTTTTTGCTTATTTAAAATTTTATAAAACTATTTCAAATGATTATTATATCACAATCATTCTTTATGAACATTTTGTTTATTCCCTATTTTTCACTATTATGAATTACAACTAAAATACAATTGTAATTCTATTCTATAATTATTACTTATAAAGTAATATAATGAATATCTTTTTTTCAAAGACAGGGTTTCACCATGTTGGTCAGGCTGGTCTTGAACTCCCGACCTCAGGTGATCTGCCCGCCCTTGGCCTCCAAAGTGCTTGGATTTCAGACATGAGCCACCATGCCCAGCCTATAATGAATATCTTTAAGGATAAATCTGTATCTGAAGTTTTGATCATTTTTAAAAACATATTTCTAGGAAAAAATAAGTGAGTAAAAGTTCAAAAATACTTTAACAGCTTTTATACCTATTGCTAGATTGCTTTTCCCTTGTCTTCTTACCAGAAAAATTGGGTGAAATGATTAGAGTTGCTGGTTTTTAGTCCCACCTTAACTGTGATTATCTTATTTTATATATGTTGAGAATCTAAATTTTATGTTCCTCTATAGAATATTAAGCTTTTGTTCTGGCAGGCAATGATGTACTGACAGATCAGCTTCTTCCATTTGTGACATGGTTTTAGACTTTGGGAAGATGGGTATAGAGTAAGTCTAGAGGAAGCTTTTAAAATGCGGCCTTTCCGGGATCTCCACAGTTTCTGGCTGAACTCCAGTGCCTCCTAGCACTATGCGATGTCTAAATTCTCCATTTGGAAATGGCCTCTAGGCAGAGAGGTGGAATGAATGCTCTCTCGTATATTTCTCTTTTCCCAGAGATTACAGCCCTGTACTTCCTGTTGTCTGATGTCTGAAAACAGTTGTTTCATATATTTTGTCCAGTTTTTTAGTTGCTTATGGTGGGAGGGTAAGAGTGGTACCTATTACTATGTCATAGTTCTTCATGCTACATATTTCTACATATCAATGTTGAGGATGTGGTGGAGAATACAGGTATATAGGAAGTTTATGAGTATAAATGCACCTTATTATTTTTTGTATTATTTTTTGTTTTATAAAGATACCACGAGGCCAAAGCGAGACTACGAGGTGGATGGCAGAGACTATCACTTTGTCATTTCCAGAGAACAAATGGAGAAAGATATCCAAGAGCACAAGTTTATAGAAGCCGGCCAGTACAATGACAATTTATATGGAACCAGTGTGCAGTCTGTGAGATTTGTAGCAGAAAGAGTATGTTCACCAATCTTCTTACACCTCCCTTGAAGGTTTCTAGGTTGCAAACTGCAATTTTTGGTCATTACTCTCTCTTGATTGCAATTGTAAATTTTGATTAAATCCTCCTTTTAAGACATCCAAGCAGAGAATCACCTTAGAGCAATGTCATTAATCTTTGTTCTAATTTCAATAAAGTATTCTCACTGACTTGGAAAAAGCACCAAGAGGGTTGGAGAGATATCTATAAACCTAAAGGCAATTAACACCTTGAAGTTTATGAGGATTCGCTTTGTCTGTGACTCACTCTCTGAGGCCCCAATAAACAACACTGATTTTATGAAGGCAGGTTTACTACTTTGGTTGTAAACCAAGGGGATATCATTCCTGAATTCTTTTGTTAGAGCAAGTTATTTTTTCTCTGTCTCTGAAAATTTGACATCCTCATGGTGGAAGAGAAGATAGATGAGAAAGGCTGCCCAGCCTGTTGCTAGCAGAAGTTCTAGTTTAGAGGAGATGGAAATGCTGAAATTCTCTTCTTGCTGGTAACTTCAGGGGCATGGAAAAGAGAAGAATGTTCAAAAAGGATAGGATAGGAAGGCACCTGGTTGTGGCTATACAATCTGCCTATAGAGGGATCCTATCTCCTGTGAACACAGGGAACCGATATCATAGGAGAAGATATTTGTTGGGTTGATTTGATTTGACATGACCTTTTTCAATGTACCGCTAAAGAGTTAAACAAGTAATTTTAATGTCTATCTGAGAATACACTAAGAAGTTGCATCTATTTTCTTCCCTCTCAACAGTTTAGTTCTATCAACTATATGAATACTGGTTCTAGTTAGACTGTCCTGGATAATTGCATCTATTTTCCTCTTCGTTCACGTTGTTAACTTGAAATGTTCTGACCAATGAATAATCAACCAGCATTTATACATGTTATGTGGTTGCTGCACTTCACAGATAGAAAACTTGAAATCTATTACCTAAGTAACAAAGGCTCGAACCATCTTAGTGTGTTTCTCATATAAGAAGAGTTCAGTTATTCAGTGGACTCTATTCATTTTCATGTTAACATTATAGATGAGTTTTTAGCCCTTATTATTGATTTAGGACCCTTCCTATCTGCATAAAGTGCCTTTTTTTCTCTTTTTGCATAAAGTTCTTCTCAGGGTAATGAGGCCATTTCTCTCCAGGAGGTAGAATATGATGTGGCAAATGTATCTGCGTTTGCAGAAATGCTTTATAAAGCAGTTCCTTGCTCTGAGCACTCACTGTGATGGAAGCCAAGTTAAATGAGATGTGCTATCATGTAATAGCATTTTTATTTGTTAGCAAACAAGTAATTTACATACCTCGTACCAGCCTCTTTCTCTCAGCATTTAACTTACAGATAGATAGATAGATAAATAGATAGCTAGATATTTTTTTTTTCAATATATAGTTTTGTTCTTGTTGCCCAGACTGGAATGTAATGGCACGATCTCGGCTCACTGCAACCTCTGCCTCCGAGGTTCAAGCGATTATCCTGCCTCAGCCTCCCAAGTAGCTAGGATTACAGGGGCCCACCACCACGCCTGGCTAATTTTTTGTAGTTTTAGTAGAGACATTGTTTAGTGAGACCATATTGGTCAGGCTGGTCTCCAACCCATGACCTCAGGTGATCCACCTGCCTTAGCCTCCCAGAGTGCTGGGATTAAAGGCGTGAGTCACCATGCCCATTCAACCATATATTTCAGTTAACCATTTTTGTGTCTGTCCTCCACTAGATTAAGCACATTGCAGACACGATACACACAAGCACTCGAAAAAGTTCACAATTCCCAATCTTCCGCATTGAATGTTGGGCAGGGTGAGACAATGAAGTATCTATTTAGTCCAACCAACAATACTGTTAGTGCTCAAGACCTGGGTTTGCATGCTCCTAGCTCTAAATTATTGGGCAAGTTAGTTAGTGTGAGTCTTCTCTTCTATAAAATGCAGCTGATAATACCTACCTCAGAGATTTGGGAATTTCTTCTTGACAGTTGTCTTCAGAGATGGTTTTGAAACTTCATGAGAATAGACTCAGTCACATAACATATGGCTGCCTGTCATTTTTGTGTGTTACATCAGGTATTTAAGAAAATAAATCTACCATGAAGCTGGAAGTGAAAAATTAAATTAAATTAAATTAACTGAGAGAACACATGTAAAATGTCTAGCCCAGTGGCAGACACTTTGTAAGGGACTAGTTAGTATTAGTTATTATAAACATTCGGTGATAACCCTATAAATCAAGTTTTAGTTACTCTTTGCAGTGATCTTTTCTAACTTTAGAAATCCAGCATCTCCTACGTTCCTCTAAAACCTACATATATTAGTTTCTTTTTGTTGGATTATGGCCACGTTTTCTATATTAACTTCATATTATTCTTCTCTTTCTCCCAGGGCAAACACTGTATACTTGATGTATCAGGAAATGCTATCAAGCGATTACAAGTTGCCCAGCTCTATCCCATTGCCATCTTCATAAAGCCCAGGTCTCTGGAACCTCTTATGTGAGTAGAGGGCATCGGAGGCCTTCATCCGGCTAACTCTCTGTTCCATATTGTACTGCAAATTACTAACAGAACTTTGCCACAAATGCTTACAAATGGGAAATGCCATTGTTGATTTTTCAGCATTCAGTATGTTTTTTTGATCCTTTAAGTTCTGGGGTACATGTGCAGATTTTGCAGAATGGTTACATAGGTATACACGTGCCATGGTGGTTTGCTGCATCCATCCCCCCATCACCTACATTAGGTATTTCTCCTAATGTTTTCCCTCCCCAATCCCCCCACCCTCTGCTATCCCTCGCCTAGCTCCCCACCCACCAACAGGTCCCAGTGTGTGATGTTCCCCTCCCTGTGTCCATGTGTTTTCATTGTTGAACATTCACCTATAAGTGAGAACATGCAGTGTTTGGTTTTCTGTTCTTGTGTCAGTTTGCTGAGAATGATGGTTTCCAGCTTCATCCATGTCCCTGCAAAGACATGAACTCATCCTTTTTTATGACTGCATAGTATTCCATGGTGTATATGTGCCACATTTTCTTTATCTAGTCTACCATTGATGGGCATTTGGGTTGGTTCTAAGTCTTTGCTATTGTAAACAGTGCCACAATGAACATACATATGCATGTGCCTTTATAATAGAACAGTTTTTAATCCTTTGGGTATATACCCAGTAATGGGATTGCTGGGTCAAATGGTATTTCTATTTCTAGATCCTTGAGAAATCGCCACACTGTCTTCCACAATGGTTGAATTAATTTACACTCCCACCAACAGTGTAAAAGTGTTCTATTTCTCCACATCCTCTCCAGCATCTGTTGTCTCCAGGTTTTTTAATGATCACCATTCTAACAGGCCTGAGATGGTATCTCAATGTGGTTTTGATTTGCATTTTTCTAATGACAAGTGATAATGAACATTTTTTCATATGTTTTTGGCTGCATAAATGTCTTCTTTTGAAGTGTCTGTTCATGTTCTCTACCCACTTTTTGATGGGGTTGTTTGTTTTTTTCTTGTAAATTTGTTTAAGTTCTTTGTAGAGTCTGGTTACTAGCTCTTTGTCAGATGGATGGATTGCATAATTTTTTTCCCATTCTGTTGGTTGCCAGTTACAGAGATACAGACAAATGGAACAGAACAGAAGCCTAGGAAGTAACGCCACACATCTACAACCATCTGATCTTTGACAAACCTGACAAAAACAAGCAATGGGGAAAGAATTCCCTGTTTAATAAATGACATTGGGAAAACTGGCTAGCCATGTGCAGAAAGCTGAAACTGGACCCCTTCCTTATACCTTATAGAAAAATTAACTTAAGATGGATTAAAGATTTAAACATAAGACCTAACACCATAAACACCCTAAAAGAAAACCTAGGCAATACCATTCAGGACAGAGGCATGGGCAAGGACTTCATGACTAAAACACCAAAAGCAATGGCAACAAAGGCCAAAATAGACAAATGGGATCTAATTAAACTGAAGAGCTTCTGTACAGCAAAATAAACAATCATTAGAGCATTCTCTTTTTTTAAAGATACGTCAAAGTTTTTTAAACCACTAGAACCATAATGTCAGTGATTTCTTTTTTTTCGCACCCCTCATTTTTAACAATAATAGTAATTCCTTAAAACATCTTCATTTTGTTTGTTAGTTTTCGAGGTGTTGTTCTTGTTGTTGTTGTTGTTTTGAGGATAGCTTGGTTTGGTTTGGTTTTTTGGTTTGCTATTTTTTTTTTCTTCAAATGATAGGAAGCAATCATTTTTGAATAGTCTCATACTTCTGAGGCAGGTCCATAAGTAAATCATTTTAAATGTGTAGATTTTTTTATAGAGAGAGCAGACGACATTTGAGGCTTTTTTTCATTGGCATTTTCCTTGGTTCTATAATAGAATTCTAACGTTCCTTAAATAAAACTTTTCATACATAGAACATTGTTCTTAATAGTGTTTTCTTAGTGATGTGGCAGTAAAACATCTGTAACTTAAACGAGTAGCTTCATACTTGTGTGCTCAGATTTTTTTTTTCTTGTTTTTTTTTCTCCAAATAACTTGTGAAATATCTTCTTTCAGAAAGCACTAAACAAAGTGGGCAGACATTCATGGTCTGACTATAAAGTCAGTAAAGGCAACTCCCACTCACAAAGGTGAAGCTACAGTAGATAGGGGTAGCAAGGAAAGGGGCTACCAGCAGGGACCTGAAAATTGATCAGGCAAGGTTTGGTTCTTTGCTTTGCCACTGATCAGTTAAGTAACCTTGGGCAAATTGCTTGACCTTCCTAAGATTTAGCTCCTCACCTCTAAACGAGGTGCACTAATAAATTCCTCATAGAGCTAGTATAAAGGTCAAATAACAAGATTAGGAATTTAGTAAAGCTGCTGATATAGTCTTTGGCATACAGTAAGTACTCAATCAATAGTACCTATTATTTTTATAAAAGATATAAAATTACTTTATTATAAAGGAATAAAACTATTTTATTATTATAGAACACATAAATAGCACCTCTTCCATGACAGTGCAAGAGATAATACCAGTGTGTCTGTCACAAGGGCCTTGATCAAATATTGTCTTCATCTGGGCCTCAAGACCGCAGTGTTTGACAGGGTTCAGGAGTGAACTACAGAGTACTAGAAAACAATGTTTATGCAAAGACTGAAGAAACGGAAATTATTTAATCCCAGTGGTGAAAGCAATTGCTTGCAGAGGGCATTGACTATTCTGTGTCTCCTCTAAGGACGAAGAAGCAAAGCAAACTGCAGCAGCTGCAGTGGCAGCCTAGGAGAATTAAGTTAAATACATAGTTGAGCTCTGGGGAAATTGCCAGAGATATGTCTTCAAAGCAGAATATAGTCCCATAAATAAAAGATGGACAAGGGTTCTTACTAGAATAAAAAAATAAGATTAGGAGGTTACCAACAATACTTTCAGCCCCATGAATTTAGGTATTAAATTATAATATAAAGAGTTTTTCCCATGGCTGGCATATGGAAAAATATGTATTAATGATAAAATAATGGTTCTTAATATCATCATCCCCATTAGCAGGTATTAAATTTCTCCTTATGTAGGATACCGTGTTGGGCATTGTGCAAAATGAATTAAGTAAGTACAAATTTCATTATGTAAAATTGATTTATAATCTGTAAAGAGCCTCATAAATATAAGCAATGCTAACATTAATAAGTAGAGAAGAAAAATAGTCCTCACCTCCTGGGAATAGCCATCTTAAAGGCCTGTTTCAGAAATAGAAAAAGAAATCCTCATATTTTAAACACACCGTGGGATAAATGGCTTCCCAGGGGAATGAGGCCTGAGGGAAGGATAGCAATGGCACATTTGGTCCAGAGCAATATTGAGAGAGCGTCCCATCTGGCACTCCATAGAGGTCTACTTCCTTCCACAACTATGAGATGACTTATTTTAGTTAATGCCTTAGGGCACTGTCACAGCCACTTTTCACCAAGGAAAGTTAAACATACTAAAGGCTGGATTTCACAATGAGGACAGTGAATCTGAAATAATTTGCTGTAGCCATGTTCGTGTGTCTCAAGCGCAATGATGGTGATATTCAGACCAATGCAATCCTATTAAATGTTGGATGTTTACTTTACAGTTCACTCTTTTCCGAGGCTTTTACTCCAGGAGCAAAGCTGCCATGAATTGCCCATTCCCTGGGGAGGAGTGAATGCTAGGTCAGCTGGAACAAAAGCATGGCAGCTGTCACATTTAGGCATTGATACATCATCACACACATTATTTTTCAAGTGCATCATCCACATCAAATCACAGAGCTTATTAGCACATACATAGCTGACTCTTCAGAGGAGCATAAAATCAACGATGTGTATGAAAGGGATGTTCTTTTTATATTGTGCCACCGTCTGACTTCCGTTCCCTTCCCACGTGGCAATGTCTCTTCACCCTGCCACCTCCAATCTGCTTTTACCTTCCTGCTCCCATGATGCTCTGTGCTTATTTCTGCCTTCAACTATCTTATAATTATGTTTATCTAGCTCCCCATTTGTTCATTCATTCATTCGTTTACTCGCTTATTCATTCAACAAACAAATGCTGAATCAGACTCCATGCCACATGTTAACAAACCAGCCATGATCTTCACCCTCAAAGAATAACTGATCAGTCAAGGAGACAAAGTAAATTCACAGGTTAGAGGATAAAAACCCAAAGTAAGTCATTGCTATAATCAGTAAAAAGGGAACTCAGAGAAGACAGAATCCTTGGCAGGCAAGTAGAGGAAGATCCAGAACTATGTGATTTCTTTTTCTGAGACAGGGTCTTGCTCTGTCACCTAGGCCGAGTGCAGTGGTGCCATCATGGTTCACTGTGGTCATGACCTTGTGGGCTCAAGTCATGTTCCCACCTCAGCCTCCCAAGTAGCTGGGACTAAAGCCATGTGCCACCATGCCCAGCTAATGTTTGTATTTCTTGCGGAGACAGGGTTTCACCATGTTGCCCAGACTGGCCTTGAACTCCTGAGCTCAAGTGATCCACCTGCCTCAGCCTCCCAGAGTGTTGGGATTACAGACTTCAGCCACTGTGCCTGGCCCATGTCATTTCTTGACATCTGGAGCAAATCTTCATCTTTGTCTGAAGAGTGTCCGTTGGTTTAGCCCAGCATCTTCTCCACCAAAGAGTAACATCCATTCACAGCATGTAGGGCTGAGACTAGAAGAGAAATTATAGATTCCACCCCTCAAAACAGATGAGTTTAGCAATAAGAGTTCAGAAAATGCCCTCTTCTTTTTGTTTCAGCCATTAGTGTCTAATGTCACCATTTGGTTTTTTCCAAATAAGACTCTTTTGAAAGACATCAAGTCTTGGTATAATAGGAAGTCTGACCAAAAATTGGTTTAAAAACCGAACCCTTGAGTTCTTACCCCAGATTACTCTTAGTTAAATACATAGCCTTAAGCATGTCCCTTCTTGCCTCTGTTACTTGCAGAAAGAAATTCTGAAAAGGAATTGACTAAGACCAGATGTTCCAGACCCAAATCTCTGGCTTCCTAAGCAGCATGCAAGGCAGTTATGATTTCAGAAATTCTACATGCACCTGTGATCCATCCTGATCAGCCAACCAAATTGCATTTGGCTGGACTTTTTTTTTTTTTTTTAACACCTGGAAGCCTTGGCAAGATAAAGCTGCCAGTAGTTAAGAATCAATAGATTAGGTTTTAAAGAGAATTCAAGAATTTTTCATTTCGCTTCCACCTTGATTTATCCTTGAGACTTTTTAAAAAATTTATATATATTAGTTATATATGTTTTTGGAGTATATGTCCTATTTTCATGCTTGTATACAACGTGTAAAGATCAAATCAGGGTAATTGGGATACCCATCACCAGAAATGTTTTGGGAATATTAGAGATCTTCTAACAATTTTGAAATATTCCTCTAACTGCATTTTTGTGCTCCTTAACCAGCTTCTCTTCTTCTCCCCTCCTGCCTTGTCTTCCCAGTTCTGATAACTACCATTCTACTCTCCCACATTTAAGAGAGTCTGAGATACACTAGAACAAACTCCAAGAAAGCCTCAGGAAAGTTCACATTTAGAAATCATATCCAGTGAGGGCGTAGATGAAGCAATTGGACAGTTTTTTCTGAAGAAGTAGAAGCCTCAAGATACACTTAAGCACTTTACTTAAATATCCTAGGGCCTACCATGGAAGAAGTTTAGCCTCCCTCTCATGATTTGCAGTCCCTGTCATGTCCCCTGCAGAACAGACACCAGTGACTGCAAATCACAGGGATACCTGTTTGGCTTCAATCCAATGTGGGACCAAGAGGCTGCCTTTTGAGAGAATGAGCTTTCGGGCCAGAGTCCTTGTTGCCGAAGTTATTCCAGCACAGAGGATTCCTGAATGAAGACTAAAGAGCTGTTGCTAAGACTACACTATGCTTTCTGCATGATTTATTTTTCCCTACATTTTAATTTTTTAGGATTTGGAATATTCCCTTTATGTTCTAATACTAAACCCTCATTTTCCCAGGGAAATGAATAAGCGTCTAACAGAGGAACAAGCCAAGAAAACCTATGATCGAGCAATTAAGCTAGAACAAGAATTTGGAGAATATTTTACAGGTAAGTTCACTTTTACCCTGGCACTGTGGGAAGAGGATAAATTGTCTGACATCTGACATAGAGAGAGCTCTGGGCCTGGTGTACTTGGGCCCTAAAACCTTCCTGTTGAGAATCCCTAATATCTGTTTCACACACAAGGAGTCTCCCTCTGCTTCACCCATTTTGATGTGGAACCCTGGGTTCTCATGGGAGTTCAGCTGCAGCCAGCTCCCAGGTTCCCACCAGCCTGACCCACATGGGCAACGGATGCCTCTGAGCTGTCTCCTACCGTGAAAAGGATTTTAGGCATTACTACCTCATTAATAGTAAAGATCAAATTAAACGATCTCCCTGATATCATGAGAAAACTTGAAAAAGAAATTTTTAAGGCTCAAAATAGTCAGTGTCCAAAACAGCTATTCTTGAGGAGCAGCCAGGAGGCTTCTGTTCCCTGCTCCATCAGCTGTCGCCAATGTCCCCATCAGCAGCACATGAACAAGGTGCTTGAAATTCCCATTGTGTCAAGTCTCAGCCAAAAACTGGTTGGTTTTTTTTTTATTTTTAAATGTTTCCTTGGAAACATGAAGTTAGGGGAATAGAAGTTTTTCTTCTCCTGGATAGCCTGAGTTCTGAGTTCTCTGTTCCTATATGCTTTTATGGAACACTGAGTAATCAGACTTTGTGAAATTTGCTTTACACCTGGTTCTCAGTGGTTTAAAAACAGGAACGTTCTTCCTGGATTACCTTACGTGAAGTTAGATGTTTTATTTTTTACCTTATTCAGAATATACAAAGGGTCAGTGTCTTAGCAGTTTGTAAATAACCTGAATCGGGTAATACTAAGTAAACTTTCTGTCAATTACCAAAATGAGAGCTATGTTTCATCCTGAAAGAACACCCAGGTAGGAAAAAGAATCAAAACCAAGGTACATTTTACAGTAGTTCCTATCTGGTATACAATATTATAATTAATATATTCTGAGAATTGTTTTTAAATATCTAAATCATCCTTCATTATTTTTAAGACCTAGTGTCATATACATAATATTGATGTGTTTGGAAATCTTTCTACAAGATAGCTTTTGTTCAAACGAGACAATAAAATGTACTTAAATCTACTCCAAGTGACTTAGTGTTTTAGGAAATACACACTGAGCAGTTTGTTTATATTTCTTCCTATTTATGTTCTTATAAATAGTAGCCTTATGGTATTCTCAATATGAATAGCCCTTTATGGTAAAATCTCTATTTACCAGAGATTTGGAGAATGAATGAGTTTCCCTATTAAGGTTTATGCGGGTTGGGAGGTTAACTAAAGCTTCCTCTAAAATCTTTGTTTTTTCCTCGGTGTCTATAACATGTGAATTTCTGCCGCTGCCAAAGTAAGTAAATATAGAGACTATAAGGCCAGTTTTCTTTTCTAAACAGGTAGTTCTCAATCTGAAAATTGATCAATGCCTAGCTGAGTGCCTGGCCCAGAGTAGACACCCATAAAATATTTGTTAAGTAAATGAGTGATTCATTGTCCAGAACTACAGGCAGATATGTAGAAAGTGCAAAGACTGTGATGCATTTGTTAGTGATCCAGGATATCCATTGAAAGCATTTTTTAAAATCATGAATGTAATTTTGCTTATGTGAATTTTCTGCTTTTTCTTACTAATGAAAAATGATATGAAGCTTCCTGATAAGTTGTCTGCTACCAGTTTGAGCCTCCGGTATGTAAGTGATGATTGTTCTTCACCATCCAGGAAGTAATTTGGGTGTGTTTGCTTTTGTTATAGCTATTGTCCAAGGAGACACTTTAGAAGATATATATAACCAATGCAAGATTGTTATTGAAGAGCAATCTGGGCCTTTCATCTGGATTCCCTCAAAGGAAAAGTTATAAATTAGCTACTGCGCCTCTGACAGCGACAGAAGAACATTTAGAAGAACAAAATATATATAACATACTACTTGGAGGCTTTTATGTTTTTGTTGCATTTATGTTTTTGCAGTCAATGTGAATTCTTATGAATGTACAACACAAACTGTATGAAGCCATGAAGGAAACAGAGGGGCCACAGGGTGGGACAGAAAAGACATTGCAGTGTGAAGGAAGGCTTTGGTTTGCTCAAAGTGCCAGGTGTAGGGATGAACCTCTGACGGGCTTTCTGCCCAAGAGATGAGAGCCTCCTCACCCCAGCGGATGTCCAGAGCTGATTTAGCTACAGAGCTCTCTGTGTCTTTTGCTTTAAAGAGAAATTGCCAGCACTCGAACCTCACCAACCTTCCCATTACCCACATCTGTAATTGGTACACTTTGAATTTTATAACTATGCACATCTTTTGATTTCTTAACAAGCAAATGAAAGAAAGAAGGAAAAAAAGAAAGGAGTCCCTTTGGAGACGACATATCTCTCTGGGAAGGATAAATGTGTAGCTATGTTGACTGGCATCTGCAAAGATAAGCATTTCATAAAATTTGCAAGTGAATGGAGCACTAACCTTACAGACAGGAGGGGATTCCACCTGGGGTTAGCTTTATGATTGTCGATTGCCTATTTTGCCATTTTTAAACTGAAAGAAGGCACTAAAGATGAGAATAATTTATACAGTAAAAATATATTAAATGTATAGAAACAAATTTCTATAGGTTAAAAAGTTTTGTGAAATATTTTGTAAAGACTAATATTGAAAGACTAAATGTATGCAGCATCAGCAGATGATCAAATTCAAGAACTGAAGGTTGCACTCTCCCTTTTGTTGCCAATGATCCATTAAGAGCATCTGAGTTCCTTTCAAGTCTGACAAAGACTTCTTCCTCACTTACCTCCCTTCCACATTAGTGATACACTCTCATGGAGCACATACCTTAATGAGTTGCCTTCATGGATATTTTGGGAAGACGTTTGGTTTATGCATTTTTTTAAGCTGATGGCTTTTCAGAGACAAACTTATGGAAATGATCTAAAGGGAGTTTTTGCTTTTCTCTAGTTAAATAGCCTGAGCCTGCCATGCAAATAGTTTAATAACTTTGTTCCTAGCTGCTGACACACAATTTATAAAGGACCGTTTAGCATTTTGGCCAATGATGAGTAATTAGGATTAGTTTTTGTTTGTTTGTTTAACAGAGTAACTGAGAGTTTTGCAACAGCCAGAGACGGTATTAGAGCCCATGGGAGATCTGTTCCTAGATGCACTATTTCTTTGAGGAAGAGAGAGAAGAGAAGTGACTGCTTGGGGGTGAGGGGCGCAGACTGTTTTATTTCTATGTACAGAGCAAAGAGATAGAGTCACAAGGAAAGACAATTAATGACTTTGAGCTCAACCAATTGAACTGCCTTTCTTGGAGCTGCACTTGGACCAAGTTTATTTTTTAACAATTATAATAATGATGATTTTAAAAAAAGAAACCTCCCAAAGCCTATAAACTGAACTAGAAGAGTTAGTTTCCCACTTTAGAGCGGATGGCGACATCAGCATTGCTTTTGTCCATGGTGTTTAGAGAGAGACTTTTCAGTGATAATAACCACTCTACTCTGGGTTCTGTGCATTCCCACACTAAGCCCCATCGCCTTATTTCTGGGGTACATCCAGACCTGGCAGGGATTCTGCCACACTGTGCAGCAAACCAGCATGTAGGCTGGGTAGGAGAGCAAGAGACAGAGCCATCAGAGTGATGGGGCTTCTTCCCAGTAAGAACATCGGAGCTCAGAATGAGAGTCTCTTTCCAAAAACAGGCATTGTTCATCTTACACTAAACATCATTGTCTGCCTGGCTGCAGTCACCAAAACAAACCCCAAAATGCAAAATCATGCATCTTCCTATAGTCTTGAGGCTGTCTTTGCCAATGGAAGGGCTAGCAATGAATTTTCCCTCTCAGGAAAGTTAAATTTCCAGAGACTTCCTTAGAATGCTCAAAATGTTACAGATATGTCCATGTCTGCAATTCGCCAGTTTCAGGCCAAGGCCTACTTTCATCAATATTGCTCCCAGAAGTTTTCTGCCACCAGAATGCCATTCCTGATCCCAGCTCTATTTTTAGGCCACCATGATAACTTCTTTGGTTTCTCAACTGAGCATGCAACCATTTATTTAAAAGACTGTCATTAATGAGTAGATGTTTTTGCGGGTCGTGTGATGTGCTTTTCCATTTACTAGTATTGCTGTGGCTGAGTACAATCAAATTGAACCACCAATCCTTGGTTTTGTAGTAATATATTTATTTTCCTAGTGTAGATGCTTTCAAATTAGAATTGGCATTTGCACTGATTTTTTATGTAGATTTATATAAATATATAGATACATATATATTTGCTTGAAGAATCACCAAGCAAATTGGTGAGACGGTCTTTTCCTATAGAATTTACACCTCCATTTGTTGTGTTGTCTTGCACTTCCCAATGTTGATGTCTCTATGGCTCCAACGAACTGGTGTATTTTGCAGCAAATCTGATGACATGTATGGAAATGGCATGAAAGTTACCCAGATTACATCTGGTGCAAATGCATCCGGAGCCTGGGGCCAGACTGGTGCTAACACTGCAAACTTTGTCCAGAGCTCTCTCCAACCTGAAGGCTTGCTGGGGGTGCCATGTCACCTTCACACATGCTGGGCCCTTTCAGAAAAGTGCCAGATCGTGTCACTGGTGCTATTTTTCATGCTCTGGTACAATGTGTAGCACCACGGGGGTCTCAGCTTTACCAAAATCAAAATTTCATTTGTCGGCTAATTGCAGAGGCATTTCTTTTTTGCTCTCCTCCCACAGAATTATCGGCCATTTATTTGCAGGCCCTTTGCGGGATTTCTTGGCTATTTATTTGCAGGCCTTTTCTCCCAGCCCCAGATTCTTGGGTTGGCTCTGTCTGCTTAAAGAGCCTGTTTTTACAAAGCCGCACTCGGGTGCCTGTGTGCGCTGTCTCATATCCTACTGCCAGCCCTTCAGGACTCCGAGCCAGGAAAGAACTCTCTAGCCCCTGGCTCAAGACCCTATTTGTTTTCTCATTCTTTTCCTAACTCTCCTCCTTCTATTTCTGACTCATTCCATCTCTCTCTTTTGTTTTCTTTGTTCCTCTACTTTTCCTATTCTTCCTCCCCATCATCTCTGAGTTGTTGACTTTCTCCTATAATCCTTCTCTATTTCTTTTCCCTTTTTGTCCACCTCTCCTTTAGTCTCTATTTCTTTGCCCTTCTTATTTCTTTTTTCCCTTCCTTTCCTGTCCCTTCTCCTCTCCTCGCATCTCTGATCATCTTCTCCCGCACATCCCTGTATTGATTTCTCTGTCCTCTAAAGGGCTCATGGCTTACTCAGACAGCAAGTCCATGCACTGGACTAATGACACAAATACTTTGGGTCGCCGTTTCATCTACTCAGCCCAGAAAGCAAAGCTGAGCATGAGGCCCTGACCTGGAGCATGCTCCAGCCCGCCTCCCAGAGCCAGCCTGCACCGTTGCCCTGGCAGCGATGATGCATGTGCTGTGGGCCCTGCCGGCCCTGGGTGCCTCTGCCTGAACGCTGCTCCTAAGTGAGCCTACCCCCAGCACTACCGCATGGCTCTGAGGACACTTCCTTTCAATAAAGGCAGCCTCTGGCCCCAATTATTCTGATAGCAAACCTCTTCCTCCTCATTGAAGCCATGCCATCACCTTGGTTTGGAGAGAGACATTTTTTTCCCATTCATAAGCTTTCTTTTTCCCATTTTCATGTGAAGCCCCCTCTGCTTTTCAGCTGGTGGTTGCTCTGGTGAGACTGAATGGACTTGCTGGTGAAATGAAATACCTTCTTTCCTGTCTTGGTCCTGCCTAAATTCGTACAGATATATTTAAGCCAAGGACTCAGGCTAGTTCCTAAGTTGATCACATTAATTTGTCACTCCTAAGGGGAAAAAGATCAACTCCCTTGAAGCATGTGGAGTACCTCCTGTGACAGCTGACTTGCCAGGGGACTCCCTACAGAATTCTGTGATAGACATTTTACTTCTGTGTATGGATGGTATATACAGTATGTATACCATGTACACACAGGTTACATTGAGTATGAATGGCTGTGGATGGAAACCCACACACACACTCCAGTCTGTAAATATCCTTCCTCACTGAAACCTGTGCTTTGGAAATCATTTCTTGTACAGCTGTGCAGTTTCTTGTAACAGCTGAGGACAAAGCTAAGACAGGAGGACAATTTAGACAAAGATCATCTAAAGAGTACAGTATCTCCCTAGCAACTCATGAGGACAGACAACCAAGTGGCTAGGTTGACTTCCAATGGGATGGCAGACTTTTCTTCTCTCCTTTTTGAGTTTGTGTTTCCTAAGTGTTTCTTAACTTCTGAGTGCACCAGGCTGTACCCGTTAGATCCTTTCAATATGACAGTTTTGTGCTTCTCTCTGACAGGATGTTTCTCCATCGAGCTGTAGTGCAGGATGGGAGGGAGGCGGGAATACTCCTTGCCTGGGCTGGAGTTTACAGAGACACTGCACAGCTTACACTCCTGTTAAGTGTAAATATTCAACACTTCCATTCCATTTGTGTAAAAAATAAAGCACACACGATTATAAAATCAAGATGTATATTTCATACTCAGTGTGTCCGTGCATATTTATTGCGTTTCTAGTTGTCAGCAGTGGGTGGTCCCATTGTAAAAATGCCTGAGAGTGTGTTTATAAACATGTCATGGTTTTATTATATAAATATTAAAACATTTTATACTTTATAGCAAATGATTTTCTCCCAAAGCATAATTTGTCTTATTTCATAAGGAATGGAATCACTCATGTCTATTTTTATCAATTTTGTCTCTGATTCCAGAGCTAAAATGCAGTTAGGGTGGGTATGTCCTGAGAAGTATTGGCACTGCTGAGAGGAAGTAAACGTGCTGTTTTTGCATGTTCTTAAATATTTGGTTACCATCCTGCCTGCCTTTAATCAGGATCTTTCCAAAAGTATACAATGTATTAAATGATAGATTTTTAAAGATGTTCACAACTATGTAGGGGGAAAAACCAATTTCCCAGTGTCAAACTGTGGGATTCCAGAAGATATTAAGAATAGAGATTAGCCAGGCATGGTGGTGGGTGCTTGTAATCCCAGCTACTCAGGAGGCTGAGGCAGGAGAATCACTTGAACCCAGGAAGTGGAGATTGCAGTGAGTCGAGATCGGGCCACTGTACTCCAGCCTGGGCAACAGAGTGAGACTCCGTCTCAAAAAAAAGAAAAGTTTGTAGGGTGGGCTTCTTGTCTCTCCAAGGATTATCGCTGCCAGACGCAGTGGGGCACACCTGTAATCCCAGCACTTTGGGAGGCCAAGGCAGGCAGATCACGAGATCAGGAGTTCGAGGCCAGCCTGGCCAACATGGTGAAACCCCGTCTTTACTAAAAATACAAAAAAAAAAAAAAAATTAGCAGGGTGTGATGGTGCACACCTGTAATCCCAGCTATTCAGGAGGCTGAGGCATGAGAATCACTTGAACCCGGGAGGCAGAGGTTGCAGTGAGCCAAGATAGTGCCATTGCACTCCAGCCCGGATGAGACTGTGTCTCAAAAAAAATAAAAAATAATTTTTTTTCTTATCTGAAACATGCAAAGAAAGGCACAAATTGGGGAGGAGGTATCATTGTCTTATACACACTGGAGCTCCAAAGATTTGAGCATATTAAAAATGTCAGGTTTGGGATCTGAATCTGCCAGATAATGTTCTAAATTCTTCACTTCAGGTTAAATATATGCCTTGTCATATTGACATTTAACCAGGTTTGACAGCCAAACAAATTCTATTCATGAAAGGGGTGAAATTTTGCATCAAAGCGATTGCTTTGGATTATGCTTTGTTTCATGATAAACTATCATATAATTGAATCAGCCATTCGGGAAGCCAGACTAGTTGTTCATACCATCCTGGCCCTCAGGAATCCACCAGGTGTCCTAAAACCGTCCTTGGTGCCGGTCAGTGAACAAAGACTCTGAGACATGGTGTAAGACGACATTGACTGAGGCTGCAAGACCAATGTGGACCTCAGATTTTGACAATTATGCAATTTTCAACATTTGCACAGTCTCACCTGGTTTAATATTAACGGTGACACTGTACACAAAGCCAGATTCACTTCAATAATGGATATGTTTATTCATAAGAAACTAGAAAAGCATTCAACTTTTCTCTGTGTCCTGTTTCATGTCTGCAAAACAGTTTTTATACCATGATCACGCTAGAAGTCTCAAAAGCTGGAAATGGCTGACACATCTCTGATCCTAAGAGGGTCTAGCTGTGAACCTGTGACCTCTAGATAGATTCTCTGAGACCATACACCGAGTGACAGAATTTAAAAGCCTCACCAAGGCACAAAGCTAGGGAACATCTGTACAGGGAGCCACAATAAGACCCATCGTCTTTAAAGTTGTCAGGGGAGGATGTGTTCTATGGATAATAACCCCAATTTCTGTTCTCTGTCACCTTTCCCTTAGGGACATCTCAGAAGGCATCATGGCTATCATTAGACTGATCCCCTTCCCCCTTTAATGTTACAGCCAAAGCATGAAGTCCACGCCTTGTCCCATATTCCCCTTAGCACTCTTAGGACAAAGCTAGAACACCTGGGTGAACTTTGCTAAAGCCTGGGGATAGCAAAAGGGAAATAAAAGATATTCTGATTTATGGTATGGGCTTAGTGCCCAGCCCCTAGCTTGATGACATGAGAGACACAGGCTACCTTTCCCCAGCCACCCAGGCGTCCCTCAAGCATAGCTAGACCAGATGGCAGACCCTTTCCTCTTGCAGCACACCTGAGAGGTGCTGTATCCATGCCTGACTCAGCACGTGCTACATTAGGTGTCTGCTCTACTTAATACAATACAGGCTAGAATACAAATGGAAGTGACTTAGTGTGGCTTTTTTGATTACTCCTTAAATGTAAACTTCAAAGGACAAATCATTTGCAACATGCTTCACATCTCAGTATGATCAGTAGAACCTCACTGGTCTAAAGTGATCAAGCCCAGAGAAGCAAGCCCATGAGAGACACCAGTTCTCTCCCACCATCGGAAGGCCTGTCCTGCTAGCTCTCGGTCCCTGTATTGTGTGGATGATTGACTCAGGTAACATCTCCTCTTCAAGACTTCAGAAGGATGAGCTGTGTGGATTTTGAACAGTAGAAAACTTTCATACCATGAGCCAAACATACAGAACAGCGTTCACTCTAGCAAAATATAATTGACTCTATTTCCATCTGAAAGAAAAGGAAAGGAAGAAAAATACTTTCTTTTCAGGGGGCATTAAAAATTTCAAATTCTTACAGCTCTACATAGCAAATTACTATGAACAGTTTCTTAGTAACAGAATTAGAGTCTCTCAGAGAGACCAGTTGATTAACAAAAATATGAAACCAACAAGCTAAAATTTTGGATCATAATTGGGTTGTTGGATTTTCATGAGTCAACCCGTGTCTTTTATATTCTTAGTAACCTTTCAGCAGAAATGGTGCCTGCCCCCATGCTCCTTCATCTGGCAGTTCTGGTATGAATAACCGTTGTGGTGAGAACCTCTCCCCTTGGTTTCCCACTGGTTTCTTACAACATCACTCATACTAATTTACTTGAGCCAACAAATCTGGCTTCCAGTCTGCAGTCCTTTTCATTTGGAGAAGCACTCTTGACTAACTGAAATTCTTTAGAGTAAAAATTTATAGAGGCTGGGCGGAGTGGCTCATGCCTGTAATCCCAGCACTTTGGGAGGCCAAGGTGAGTAGATCACTTGAAATTAGGAGTTCGAGACCAGCCTGGCCAGCATGGAGAAACTGCGTCTCTACTAAAAATATAAAAATTAGCTGGGCGTGGTGAAGGGCACCTGTAATCCCAGCTACCTATGAGGCTGAGGCAGAAGAATCACTTGAACCCAGGAGGCAGAGATTGCAGTGAACCAAGATCATGCCACTGCACTCCAGCTTGTGTGAGACAGCAGGACACTGTCTCAAACAAAAAAAATTATAGAAAATGTGCCATATAGGAAACTGGGTTCAATTAATATTTAAAATTTGGAGTATTTACCCAACATTTTATGCAAAGAAAGACTAATGTGCTTAATTAAAATTACCCCACAAAAAAAAATTCCAAAAAGCTGGCACTTATTTATTTATTTATCTAGTTATCATTCCTTACACATTTGGTCAGCAAAAAATAAACACTTGTTTGGAACCAGGCTCTATTAAGATGGTGAAGTAGAAAATCAAATAACAAGTGCTCAGAGTACTCTCTGTCTTTTCGAGCAATGTAAGCCTAGTAGCAGAAACCTATTCTGAAAAGATAGTTAAAACACAGAAGCTCTAAACAGACCGGTGAGTGCATAAAGATGCCAAACAAGTGATCTTGACATTCAGGAATCAGATGTGCATCTGCACATTTGCCCATTGCTTAAACTAAGTCTCTTCCATGGTGTTTTTGAATCTGTCAATTTCCCGATAGCCCTACCCAATCCCAGTGGCCACTTGAATGGTCTACCTATACCAGTTGGGATTCCCCCACCCCCATCCCTGGGGAAACGGTGAAGAAGACAGGTTAGCACAGACTAACTTGCCAGGTGAACAAAGAGGGGTAGACAAGGTAGGCACAAGATATGGGGAGGCTAGTCATCCAGAATTGGCATTCCTAACACGTGACAAGAATTATCAGGAAGCACGAAACAACTTGAGTATGGTCAGGATGCAGGACAATCCAGGTACTCATAGGAGAAACTAGAATGGTGGAGAGTTTTCTTTGCAGTACAGACTATTCGATGGATCAAAGATCTGCTTCAAAGTAAAATGGTGCAATGAGGCCTTCTCTTCTGATGTAATTTCAAGCATTACACACATTACTTAGAATCATAAGCAGGGTTTTATTCCCTTGGAAGGGGTAGTTTCCTGACCTGGACGTTTAATCAAAAACATTCAATAAGAACTAAAGGGATGGTTAAACTCAACTTTTAGCTTTATGAGGTAAGTATATTCCTATTTTATTAACCCAGGAAACATCTTAAGAAGATTTAGAATGAGGAGTGGTTGAAAGAAGAAAATTGATGTATTGTACCTGAAATTGCCTTCGTGTTTTACAGAATAACTTAGTTGTTCGGCACAACCTTGACGTTGAAAACCATAGATAATCTCCAATTCCATTTTTAGTTAATCACCTTACTCCCTAAAATTTTCTCCAGAGTTTCAGACAAAGGTCAACACGGTCAGAAATGTGGTTCAGGCCGGGCGCGGTGGCTCAAGCCTGTAATCCCAGCACTTTGGGAGGCCGAGGCGGGTGGATCACGAGGTCAAGAGGTCGAGACCATCCTGGTCAACATGGTGAAACCCCATCTCTACTAAAAATACAAAAAATTAGCTGGGCATGGTGGTGCGTGCCTGTAATCCCGGCTACTCAGGAGGCTGAGGCAGGAGAATTGCCTGAACCCAGGAGGCGGAGGTTGCGGTGAGCCGAGATCGCACCATTGCACTCCAGCCTGGGTAACAAGAGCGAAACTCCGTCTCAAAAAAAAAAAAAAAAAAAAAAGAAAAGAAATGTGGTTCAGCACTTTCCTGGAGTGAGGGATCAATGCACAGGGCTAGGTCACAGACTGTGAAAGAAAGTGAGACTGAATGGTACAGCAGCTGTCTGGGCTGCCCTCATCGCACTCGTGCATTGCACCCAATAATCAAAGCAAGCCCACAAGAAGAGACTTCTGGTGCAGTTCTAATTACTGGTTTGC